AACAATAACAACAACAATAATACCAACAACAATAACAACGCGAAAACAACGACCGATCTGACGAAGGGTAAGACGAAGAAGAAGAAAGTGAAGCAACAGACTTCGAACGGCAATAGTTCGAGCGGGAACGAATCCAATAGCTCCAGATCAAACGCGAACACCTCCGTCGTGAAGAAGGACGTGGAACACTCATCGGCACGGGCCGGCGAGTCTCGCGTGTCCAAGGAGAATTCGCAGGCGGCTCATGGCACGAGCAATGAGAACGCGCCCAAGAGCTCAAGGGAGACCTCGCAGACGGAGCACGCGAGCAAGAAAGACAAGAAGAAGAACAAGAGCAACGCAGACAACGGCAGTTCTGGCGTGTCGCTCGTCCACACGGAAGCCAGCAGCGATGGCAACGCGTCGGCAAACGGAATGCAGAAGAAGCGCAGCGAGCTCAAGATAGATAGCCTCAATACGACCAACAACAACATCCACAAGATGGAGGACTTCCCCGCTCTGGGCAGCAGCAGCAGCAGACAGCTCGCGAACTTCGCGAACCCACCTCCTGGATTCGGCTCGCCAGTGCCACCGCCGCCGCCAGGTTTCTCCGTCAAGTACAACAGCCTTGACCGACTGCATGGCAGCAACGGCCTGACGTTCACCAGCAGTTCCGGCGAGAGCTACTCCATCCTGCCGCCGGACGACACCGGACACGTCTACGTGCCACCGCCCGACTTTCAAAAGCGCAATACTTGCCTGGTGGCGCGGCTGAACGAGGTGCTGTTGCACCAAGACAAGATCGACAAGTTTCGCTACGTGAGCGGTCTCTTTCGCGGCGGCACCTGCGACGCTGAAGAATACTACACGCACTGTCGCGAGGTGATGGGCAGCGATGCGTTTGAGAACGTGTTCCCCGAGCTCTTGGTGCTACTGCCGGACATTGCCAAGCAGCAGGAACTATTCAAGGTACACAAGAGGGAGCTGGGTGGTAAGGCAAAGGGACTGGACGTGTGCGCGACCTGCAGCCAGGTCGTGAAGAACGGTGGAGATCTTCGAACGCACATGTCCAGCCACACGTTGGAGAACCATTTCCCGGCGCTCGGTAAGAACAGCACGCCGCCGCTGAAGAACACGTGGGTGCGTAAATGAGTCGACCGCGCGCTCCTTCTCTTCCTCCCTCCCTCTCTTTCATTCAATCACCCTCACTCCCTTCTCTTCGTCGCGTCGACCGTCTCTCCTGACTCTGGTGGAACGCGCGCGGCATGCATTGAAACAATTGTAAATATGTCGCTCCTGTTGTTTGTACTGTCGCGTTCAAGTAATTCTCATCGAGCCGTGTTTGTCTAATACGTAAGGCGAACGGTATACTTATTCCGAGAGAGTCGAGAGAATCCCATTAGCGTCGCAAGGAGAATCCGCGCATAGAACTAACGACGATTATTCGCAGTAGAGTTTAACGCTGAGATGAATCGGAGGACGTCCGGTGGATCTATCGGAATGGTGAAAAGAAAAGATATAAATATAAATATAAATATGTATACACACCAGAGCTTTTACAGACGGTTGTATTGATGATGTAATAACGCTCTTCAACGCGATCGCCACGTTCGCACAGATGAGATAAGATATTTTTTTGTATAACGAACTTTATGAAAGGACGAAGAGGTGCTGAAGTATAAATACAAAGTCTGTTACACGTTACGAAGGAGGGAAAAGAAGAAAGAAGAAGAGAGGGGAAAAACGTGCGCGCGCTAACGTTTCAACGATTCTCCGTTTCCGCTGTATTTTAAGATACCGTATTGTACATACAGTTCGTAAATAGCAGCAGCGTTCTTTCCGTAATTTATTTGCCATGTTTCTTGGAGTAGAGATATGAAATAGATTGCCGTGGTTATATGAATACCGTAACACCATACATTAACAGATCGTTTGATACACTATACAGTACTTGTAGCACTATACTGTACTGTTTTGTACTGTAATAAAGTTGTACATTCAGTTAATGACAATACTAATTTTACCGAGCAAGCGAACGAGAGTGTTGATTGCTGCCTGCTTCTCCCGCAGCCTTCCGTTCGTCGGCCTTCACGCAGTTTGGACATTTCACGGAAAGATCCGCCCCGAGTGCGTTAACTGCGAGAGATTCTGATCTTCAGGTTTGAGAGCCATATTAACGGTCGTTTCTTGAAGCCGCTTGAGCCTCGTCTCAAGTGAGAGATGGTACCCAGATTAGCTATGTGTGAGTTTATGCTCAATTGTATCATGATTGCAAATGTAACATATGTGTATGATTGATTTCAAAACTATTTTAACATTCTCCTCGATGCAGGTTTGGATGGTATAACCGATGGGCCAGTGGAAACATTTATTTTTAATTAATTCTTTCTTATCAATTCCAGTCCTCTCATTGGCATTCCAAACTGCACGAGGAAAAAGTATCCGAGCTGTTGTGAAAACACATCACTGTATGATTCAACTGAAAAAAATTCAGATCTAACTTTAGAGTGAAAAGTCTGGGCATTCTCCACGAGAAAGAAAGAGACGAGTTTCAAGTAACAACCATTGACATGAGCCTGATTTTGAAATTTGACTTTAGAAAGATCTGTCAACTTGGCTCTTTCTTCTTATGTTCACCTTCTGGTTTTATTGCAACAATCATGCCTCTAAGCCACATGGCTTACAGCTTAAACGTCTAGCCTTGTTGAAAAGAGGAATCGTCACGAGAGTAACTTTGATTAGGTTTTATATTTCCTTTGAGAAAGTTATTAAAGTTAATAATCAAATACTTATTCATACAAGTCTTACCGGCTAGCGTTACTTATCTCGAAATTCACTTATTTATTCGAAGAACAGGACAGTGCGTAAACGACTTGCGCGTGTAACATCACATAGTACACCGTATGTCATTCCCGATGAAAGTAGCACGGACGTAGGACAGTGGACGAGTTTCGTCGTGTATTCAGCTCCGGTTCTTCGTGCATAACAACGCATAAATAAATAAATTTTTTTGTAGTTGAGTCGTAGCGATCGACAGGAACGGCTTCGTCACCTGCTGTTAACAACAAAAATCGAAATTCATGTCTCAATGAGCAGAGAAATACATACGAGGAAACCTAGAACTATGTACAATCCTTATAGATGATGCAAGAACATCTATTTTGACGTAACGGCTACTTTCCTCACTCTCTTTTTCTCTCTCTCTCTCTCTCTCTCTCTCTCCGCCTTTCTCCAGCGAAACGCGAGCACGAAGTTTGCGTTTCGCGTTCTCCGGAACACAGTCAAAACACGATTTATTACTATTGTACTCGAGCGATAAAAAAGAAGCGGTCGAGCAGGTAGTCGCCCTGTCACTTCGTTCTCGCGTCGCCCTGCGCGCGGGCGGTCGCGGTCGCCGTGGCAGTTCTGAATTGTACACGTCAGACGCTACATCAGTATAATACAATTTGACAAAGGTAGAAACCGAGTGTATCCCCGTTCGCTCTACGCCCATGCCCGGATGAATGAGAAGCTGTCCTTAAGAATACCGGCTGCTGTGAGGCGCTATCACTTTTTGGCCAACTCGTTACTCAGCCAGTCCAAGCCTTCGTACAGTCCGTGTCCTTGGGTGGCGCAGGTGCTCTGTATGTACCAGTGACGGCCGCGCAGCGAATTCAGGCCGAGTTTGTCGGTGAGTTCAGCTGCGGACATGGCATTGGGCAGGTCTTGCTTGTTGGCAAATACCAGAAGCACCGCGTCACGTAGTTCATCCTCCTTCAGCATGTTTGCTAGCTCGCGCTCCGCCTCACCGATGCGCTCCCGGTCGTTGCTGTCCACTACGTAGATGAGACCCTGGGTGTTCTGGAAGTAGTGCCTCCAGAGAGGCCGGATCTTGTCCTGGCCGCCCACGTCCCACACGGTGAAGCAAATGTTCCTGTACTCGACCGTCTCGACGTTAAAACCAATGGTAGGTATTGTCGTAACAATCTCACCCAGCTTCAGCTTGTAGAGTATGGTAGTCTTGCCGGCGGCGTCCAGGCCGACCATCAATATTCGCATCTGCTTCTTGCCGAATAACCGAGTGAGCAGACTGCTAATTGTCAGACCCATCTTATCTGTTCCTTTTGTATTCTTTCGTTCCTCTGTTTCTGCCTGTCTCTTCTTGTCTCCCGCTTAAGCACGAGCACAAATGCACGAAGGATCCTCGAAGCTTCAGACCTTCAAACAAATGAATGCCAGCTGTTTGTTATCGAACAACCAATGCAACGGGAACGTAGTTGTCCTAGCGACTACCATGCGACTACGTCGTTCACTGAATGACGAAGAATCCGACAAGGGCGACCTGTCAAACTACATTTCCGGCTTACCATGCAACCTCGTGATGAAACAATATAGAACTCTTTCGTCAGACCAACGTCTGTAGCCTCGTATGCCCTCCCTTCTGAAAGATAGCTATCTCCGTTGAGCAACACACCTCGAAGATGATGATCCCGCAAACGTCACCTTGCGGCGAGGCACTATGCCGCCGGAAACAGTTGGCAAGATCCGCCACGCACGCCACTCCTCAACGACGACAGAAATAGAGGGAGAGAGGAAGAGGAAGAGAGAGACTTATTAGCGGCTCTCGTAATCTCTCCTCGAAGACGACGCTGACAGCTCGCAATTTATTCGATTCTGCAAAGCGAAAGCACCGTGAACACTATTACTCTCTGGGTTTTCTCGCGCGTCACCTTTCGCAGAGAACGACAAATCACGGTATGATGGTGTCACACGGCGTACGGCGTGAAATTAGCCGCGCAATGCTGCCAGCCTCGAAGTCTCCGAAGCGCGCGGTTCAAACGGAGAAATGTGGCCCCGCGTAGATTGCGCGACTCTTGGCCGCGTTCCGTTTCACGCATATGCGTGCATTTATATATAGTTCATGTTACATATACTGTAGAAAATGCGCGCATAATGCGTGAAACGGAACGCAGTCTTTCTCGATCGCGTTAATACAACTTTACTGCCAAGACGTAAAACCACTGACATCGACTCGATGAGAAGCGAATTTTTCGTATTCATATTATTTTTGGTGTATAATATATGTAGCGAAATTTATGAAAATACAATTTTTAGCATTATTCGCTGATGTTAAAAGTTTTCAATATCTTTTTTCCATTACTACATATACCGACGAGACATTAATAAAGACCGTTGGCAGAGAGAAGAAGGAGAGAGGTCACGGGCCACTTTTAGCCGAGCCCAGTGTGAGGCGCCCTCTGCACAACCGTGCACATCAACTACGATGCCAATGTCCACACAATTCTCTGATTTTCCCCACCACGCACGCACTCATAGCCGGTTCAATCTATCCATATATGTAATACTACTATATTGCTATTCACGCATCTCTCCCATAAGCGGTAGTGATGCCAAGAAAGTGAGACAAACGATACGATAGATATAGGCGATCATGTACTTTGAACGTTATGCGCATGCGTTAATATACGTAGTAGAGGTTAAAATAAAAATATGTAAGAATAAGATGAAAATTGAAGTAATATTAAATGAAATAAAAAAATAACTTAAAAAAACTGAAAGTGGGATTCGAAATATGTGTCGATGGTTATTACAATTTCTAATGCAGTGTGTATAAAATCAGTGTGGATATAAAAATAACCGAAATTATATAATATTATTTTCAGATATTCTCATCGTATAACATGCGACTGTATTAAAAATAAATATTAAATAAAAATTTACAAATTAGTAGAGCAGAGCTACTTTTACAACTATTGGTACAAATATATGTTAATTAAATATTCATAAAAACAAATAGAATAGAAAAAATATGTATGCAAACACTAATATTGAAAAAATGCAAATACAACAATTCTACTATCCAATATTGCAGCATTGATTGTTTATTATATGATTACATATATTTATTATAAGATGATATATGTCTGCACTGTGATGTTGGCTTCACTCCTCTTCGTCTCAATAGCAATATAGTAGTATTACATATATGAATCTATCCGTGTGGACCATGCGCTCAGCATTCTCCCCTCCGTAAATAACGTTATGAGATGTAGTTCGGAAGCGACATCTCTAGTGCTATCCCGGTCGGTAGCACTACCGGCTGAGCCGATTGGGCCGCTGCTAAAAATAATGGTGCGATTCGATGGGATACAAGTCCGTCGGTTATTGTATAGAATGTAAATATTTATGGAGCATCGAATATATTTAACTCTCCACACTGTGAAGACCTCGATGTTTCACCGAATGAAAACTCGAACGCACGTCTAATTCATGATCCCGTCGGCGCTTCACTCTCATGTCTCTTTTTCCCCTCTTTTCTTTTCTCCCTCGAATGTTCGTTCGAGCGCTCTTCTTATGTAATTAGATAATCGATGTCCGCGCTCAGCTAACTGTGCTTTCCGAGACGATTTGTAATCTAGAATGTGGAATCTTCTAGAAAGTTTTAGAGTCTTCTAGAACGTATTCCAGAGTATTCTGCAATATTCTTGAAGATTCTAGAATTTTCTAGAAAATCAGACAATTTCCTAGAACGTTCTAGAATCTTCTAGAAAATTGTAAAGTTTTCTGGAATCTTCTATTACTGCTTAAGGCTAAAGGCCAGTTCAGAATAAGTTGCAAACCCCCAGTTGTGAGTTGCGAAGGATGGCAACTATTAAGCCCGGTCCAGAATAGGTTGCAAACACCCAGTTGCGAGTTGCGAAGGATGTCAACTACTATTTACAAAGTGTTATTTTCAGTTGTAAGAGACAGTCGCGATTGCCGGTTGCCGTCGCGAAGAAGTTATAGTTGGGCTATCTCTTTTAGCTCAATTCTTTAGCTAAACTCTCTTTTAGCAACCGCAACTGTCTTTAGCAACCGCGACTGAAAATAATACTTTGTAACTAGTAGTTGCCATCCTTCGCAACTCGCAACTGGGTGTTTGCAACCTATTCTAAACCGGGCTTTAATCTTTACAATATTTCGCTTGTGATATCGGCTCTCTAAAATTCCGCTGATTTTAAACATATCCGCGTTTGAGTCTCGTGGGTAATTCTTATTTGTTCTCATGTCCGCGTAAAACGAGACAGTCGCGTCGATCACGCGTTCATGCCGTGCGTCCGATGATTCTCTTCTCGTCTGTATGCTTACTCGATCTCGACACATTCATGCACAACATTCTTCTCTCTCCGGATGATGTGTTCAAGATCGAGAGAGAGAAAATCGTCGATCATCGTTGCTCATCAGTTTCCACCGCCGTATGAGAGTATATAAAGAGAGTACACGTGTATACCTTGTCAGTACGTGACATTTGCAATTGTTGCGTCGATTGTATTGGGCTGGTTCTCAGGTGGACATTTCATCGGATATAGAAAGAAATTCATCGCAAAGTCCCAGCGTCGTCAACGTTCATGAACTTTGCACAATACTCGAAAGAGCACCTCGAGAAAGCCGCATCGCGTCAACGGGAAATCGCACAAGCGCGTGTCACGGCTCTTCCCCGTAGGTTTCATTTTAGCTGAGTCAAGGTATGTCTTTGTGAAATGCAGCACGATCATTCCAGATCAGACGAGGAGAGCACGATTACGTCAAAATAATGTCAAATTGATTGAAAATGAAAATTATCGAATATAGTAAATTGAGTCATAAGTATGTTTCTACACATACTCGTTATCTTGACGTCATCGTTCTGTTGTCCTGTTCTGCTTGGTGTCATCTATTATGTGTCAAGCAGAACTGCGGTACTTGTTCTGTGTTGGAGATCATTGATTTCCCGTAGAGAGCAGAATTACCATTCTAATAAATTTATTACGCTAATGTTACAAAAATTCCGCAGGGGACGAGTATCAGTGAGCGAGATGGAGTTTCCGAATTTGGGTGAACACTGCTCCGAAAGTACGTGCAATCGCTTGGATTTTTTACCCCTCAAATGCGACGCTTGCGGAGAGATCTTCTGTACGGATCACATCACATACACAAGTCACAGCTGCCCCAGTGCGTATAAGAAGAATGTACAGGTACCTGTATGTCCATTGTGCAATGTTCCTATACCGATAAAACGTGGAGACCCGCCCGACATGGCTGTGGGCTCGCACATGGATAACGACTGTCAGGCGGATTTCGGGAAGAATCGTAGGAAGATATTCTCCAATAAGTGTTCATCGAAGGGATGCAAAGTCAAGGAGATGGTACAGGTGAAGTGCAGCGAGTGTGGTGCCAATTTCTGCCTGAAGCACAGACACCCCACCGATCATGCTTGCATCGGAGCGGAAGAGGCGTTGAGGTTGCGAAGATTGGAATCGCTGAACAAGAAGGCTCAGACGACAGTGTCACAGAACAGCAGCGGCAATTCGTTTCGTAGGCTACAAGGGACGATGAGCGAGGATGAAGCGTTAGCCAGAGCCCTCCAAGCTTCCATGCAGGATGAAGACAGGAACAGACAAGAATTACAACCAGTGCCTTCTGGAAACCGGGATAGATGTAGACTTTCGTAACTATCTACATGTTATTTTATACTGTTACAGAGAAACAGGGAAACAAAAGAAACAATTTTCCTTGTTTTCCTGAAAAATCTGCTAGTGTCAAGACTCATATTATAATTTATTGTTCGAAGAAACGCACGGACATAGCACAAAGGTTTCGATACTCGAGTAACTACATCTGTTGCTAGATTCATTTGTGTACTTTTGTGTATTTGTTATGTGTATATTTGTTGTTATTATGATGTGTATACAGAAATTGCAACATATGAAATTGCTCACTTTTTTACTTAAGCACATTACATTATTCTTATTGATTGAGATTTTGAGAATTTCTGGTAAAGCTCAGCTTTACCAGAATCAGCATAGCTGGATCGATATATGTGAGATTCAACATATTGTATTTTGAGATGTTTGAGCTGTATGTATGGTATGTCAATCAAAGCACCTGTTTCAAAAGCATTCGTATAATGGTTGTACAGGATTTTGTGTTAAGTTGCGAGTACAAATCATTCATGTAATCTTTTTTTTTTTTTTTTTCCATATCACAAGTCATTGTACTTCATTAAAGTGATGAAACTGTAAAACTAAGATCTGGCTTATAGCCAGGAAATATATTCTGCCGAACTATCATAATGATTCTAATAATATATTACACAATGAAGCTTCAGTATAGAGTGCCTTAAGTAGGTCAAGCATAATCTACATTAGAATATGCGCTGATTTAAAAAAAAATTTTCTCTTCTTATCTCTTCAATAATACAAACAATACATAAAAAATATATTTAAATTATTTCAAATTACGCTTATTGGCGTTTGTAATAGATTTGCTTTTTAGAAACTGCTTTTAACAATAAATATACGGATTTTCATATAATACAAATATGTACATTTAAAGCATTTAGTATTGTGTGTATCCTGAATAGGATTAAATTGTTAATTATTAATTCGATGATGTTCAACTGAGAACAAGAGAATCTTTAATTATCATTTTAATTATTATGATCGTTATTATACTACGTGTCTCTCATCTTAGTGAGGTTCTAACAGGCAAGATGAGATAAACATATAATTGGATTTCTAACGTAATATCCAAAACTGTGATGGCAGAAAGGAATCGTATACATTGTATGATATTTAAGTGTTCATGTAATAACTTAAGCAAAATTTCAAAATAGAAATCATATTTGAACATATCACATCACAGGCTTCTTCTGAAAATCATGATACCAAAAAGAGAGAATATAGATGGAGTGTACAAAATGTATACTCAGATGCCACATTGATAATGATGAAACTGATATTCACAAATTCTGTGATAACTCTCAATCTTATGTCATATTTTTATAAATATATATAATTTTACGATACACTCACACACACTCACACACATAAACACTCAGTTCCCTTTAACTTACGTAATTCCATTAATATAAATATAATGAGATATTTTCCTTTTCTAGAAAAACAAACAAGGCATCGAGGTTTGAAAGAGGATGTAGGATTTTTAATATAATTATAATAAACAAATATTCAGTGATGAATATATATCGTACTATGTACGAATATATTGACAATTAACGAAACACAGCCAATAGCAAATGCATGGTGCTTGCTATTACACATTTATACTTATCAACGAATAATATGCTTTTAAGATTTAAAAGGAATCAGAATATAATACGGAAATTTTCGGTAATATGTAAATAGAAATATGCTTTCTACCATTTTAAGATTTGTTATAGTATTGTTATATTATACTCGCCTATGACGTATCAGAGCTACTGGAAAGCAAGGGATATTACTTCCCCCGTGCAGCCGTTATATACGTTCCAGATTGAGAAGGTTGTGTCTCTTTAGCACATAAAGAAATTGTGATACTACTACCTTTGCGAAAAAGTACTTTAACTTGTGCAGATACAAATAAAAATCGCCTTCCAGTATCTCTACATCAGATCTTTTCTCAACAATTCAAATATGTAAGAAAACATAATTTATTATACACGCTCCCATATTCGTATCTTCTTATATATAAATAATATAGTCATTTATATTATAATTCTGGTATACTTTAGTGAATACCAGACATAATAAAACTAAGAGGCCGCACACACAAGCGGGTAATCTCAAAAATCCATTGATGAACGATTGTACGCGTTTACAAAAGAAATCACCCATTCTTTATTGGTATTATATATATAAATTATGGCTTATATTTATTCAGAGATATGCTTATATATAAGAAAATTTTTTTTCGTCGTAAAAATTATGTGGTGTGATGCCGTAAGTTTTCTAATAACCATTCTTAACTCTTATGAGATATGCATTTGTATTAAAATGTGTACATGTAATATATATACATTTGATCTTTTCTGTAATGCGTTTAGAGTATAAGACCAATAGTGTGGAGGCTCTACATAAAACAGTTCTTTCATTCTATTGGCCTGATATACTCTTAGGATTTCAGTTACCATTTACATACATTTTAAACTATACGCATCAAGTAATTTGCGTAAGTGACAAGTTTGTATAAAACCAACTTAATTTCTAATGCATCTACCTGAATAATTTATTTTCGCACGATATATGTATGTTAAATAAATTCATATATTTTATTCTTTTAAAAACATATATATTTTTTTTGCGATACAGTCGACGTCAATTTCATTTAGATACGATCGAACATTTCGCGATTAATAACTCTAAACACAAAACAATTTTCACGATATACAAATTTCGCCTGTGCACCGATTTTTAAATAAATTAATAAGATTACTCTGATGTGATGCGACTTATTCTCTCTAACATTTTAAATCTATTTTTGCTATAAGTTACGAATAAGTTAACAGGATGATATCTATTTTTGCATAAGCTGAGTATTCTTCGTTACAGTGTTGAAACCAACACACCCAAATAATACATGAGAAATATCGACTTTGTAGAGTGAAAAATAGACGCTACACCATATTCCTTTGCAAAATCGATGTATTCGTAAACTTAACATGACAAGAAAGTATAGAAATAATTTAATAATGTTTACATTACAATTACGATGGGTCTTGTTTGAAGATATACAAACAAATCTTCAATAGGTTTTCAACAAATATACATGATTTGAAATATTCTGATTTCGTAGTAATCTATATTGCTCATTCGAAAATATCAAATGTCTCTTTTTAGAATAAACCATACAGAATCAGCCGTTTATTTACCAACTTTTCCCAACTTGGTGTCAGTCTTTGGATTAGCTGTTATATTTTGCACAGCAACAATTGTTTCATTGATCTTTGTCTGAAGATTTCTGAGATCCTGAATGTATAATAAGGAAAGACCCCTGGCAGCATTGTCCAGCATTTTGTCACCCATATTAAAGCCAGGCCCTATAGTCATTGCTGTCAGAGATTTACCTTTAATATTCACAATGTTGGGCTGTTTAACCGCTTCTGCATTCAATTTATTGCATACAAGTTTGCTACATGCTTGTAACGTCACAAGATGGTCAGAATGTTGTGGTACTCTTAATAATTTTGCTATTGTACCAACTCCAACCTTGAAAGCGTTACTATCAACTGAAATAGGAGAAAGCTGCATGATAAAAATTGGTTGTTTATACAATATTTTTGTATGAAATGTTGTCAATTACTTTGCAAGATATACTTACAATCTAAATTATCTAGGGGATTTATAGACTTGACATTAGGTACATTAGCTTGATTATCAATCACTTTAGCTTTGCTTCCTAGAACTCCCTGATACTTTTGGCCTGGTAAGATAAGTTATATATTTCATCAGGCTTATTTTTATAGACAGATAGTTAAATGAATCCTTTAATATTATGCTAAACAGATTTATACTCACAGTCATCTCCAAACTCTAGCCAAATAGCATATCCTATAAACCATTCTAACTGATCAGCAGCATTCTTAGTTATTGGGCATTTGACGTCATTACAGTATTTTTCAAACACCTTTGGCCATTCTGGAGAAGTAATATCTCTCAACGGTGCACGATCATCTATTGTATAATGACGTATTTTTTGGTCTTCCAACCATACAATCACTTTCCTAAAGTGTTGGTCATCTGAAATATTATTGTTATATCCATGATGTTCACTAATGAACATTTATTTATTCTGTAGATTTATTATGCAATGATGATAAATTTCCTTATTTATTCCTTATACATTTGTCATGATAATTATAGAAATGAAATTAGACTTAACATCTGTTAAGCTCAATATTTAGTTACATAAAAATACCAGTTTCAGTTGAGTTTCATAATATTTTGCAAATATTAATGATGCAATATATAATATAAAGCGATATGTTCAGTAGGTTATATGACATGTGTCAAAAATGACTCACTGTTCCCGTTAACCTTATCCCATTCCAAATAACCCAGTGCCTTCAATTTTCTTTCAAACATATTAATTATTATTATTATTCGCGAAAAGCTCAATGCTCGCGTTACCGGAAGATGACAATCCTTCACGTGGCAAAGGCAATGCCGCTACGGATGGGAATGTGTTCGAAGGATTGGCCGCGTTCAGCAGAAAAAGCTGCTTACTAAGGGCAAGAGCACAGGCTTTTGCATAATACATAATACATAACACATAAGAGAATAAACCAATTAGTTTTCTTCATTCCCCTCCTCAGGACAAAAATGAAGAACTCTGATTGGTTGATTCTCTTATGCGATGTGTATTATGCGTTATGCAAAAGCTTGTGCTCCTGCCTTAAGTGTTTAGTGATTAATAACTATGATTGAAGTATTCTTTTGGATCTTTAACGAATCTAAGGGAATGAACCAATCAGGAACGATAATCACTAAGCGCTTAGTAAGCAGCTTTTTCTGCTGAACGCGGTCAATGATGAAGGCAGTCTCACAGTATGATATTTGTGAAATGACTACGCAATTTTTCCCTAGAAAAGAACATTTCCGACATTAGATATCAATTGCATATTGAAACTTAACGAAGAAAAGATGTGTCAATTTTTGTGTCAAGAGAACGAAATGTTTAATTCCAGAAATTAAGTTCTTATTGAATCATTTTAAAATGCACGAGTGTAGGTTTATGTAGCTTTACGCGTTTATGTAGTTATCGAACAGGACAGCGAATTACGAATCGCGATATTAGGGATTTCTAACAGTCCCTAACATTTTTTTCAGGTATATTAAAAATTCTCTATTCAACAGCCAATCGACGCATCCAATAAACTTGTACGCCAAATAAGATGTACTAATTCGCAAAAAATTTGCGAATCCACCATTTATTACTAAAAATGAATATTCAATTATTATATCTATAAAAATAAAATACTTTTAGAAAGAAAGAGAAAGCCATAATTCGGTACAAATATTTAAGAAATTTCATTTTTCTTAATTTCATTACAATAAAGTAATTGAAATATTCCACGTAACGTTAAAAAATGATGAACATCAAAATAATTGGCATTGAAATCTTCATTTTTCAACTTTACTAAATTCAGAATTATTACGTTAAACAAAAAAATTATAATCAATCCTCTATAAAGTGTGAATAAATTTGTCTATTTTTAATATTAATTTCTCATAATTAATTTTGTAATTTAAATGTTTTTATGAATAAAAATGTATTTCTATTTTTGCAACATAATTTCTGTCATGTAATACTTGATGATAACAACAACAACAATACTAATAATAATTTTTTCTAATTTGTAAATTTTAGATTTAGGGATATAGCGGCACCAAATACGTTATAACCTTCACAAATACAAATACAAATACAAACACAAATACAAATGATCACAATTATCAAGTAGCATATTGTGTCACTAACATGATTATAACATCCTAACGATTAAAGCTATTGGTTGATAAGGTCGTGCCTATTTAGACCAATCAGATTGGTCCGCTTACTAGACCAATCAAATAGATCATTTTGACATTTCGAAACATTTGTAATCCCAAAGCCCTGGCCTTAAACGGATCTTTTATGTAATGTAAAGATAATCTTATATTCTCAAAAGCACAGATCTTTCCGATTGTCCAAAGAGAATTGAAAGATAAGCTCAAAGGACCATACAGGTAAAAATTCCGACTATGAGTACTATCTACTGTTATCGGAAAGGACTGGACTTCATCAGTCCTTTTGTTATCGCCCGATGTCCCCACCCCCGTTCGTCTTCGTCGATAACGACCACGGCATTCTCATGACACATGCAAAGATGGCCTAATAGGGTGCATCGAGCGCGAGAACGGATTCTCATCTACGCAACACCCAGTCTCGGTGCAGCTACCCAAGTGCTGGGTTGCGCACGAGAGGTGCGCGACGTCATTGCGATCCAGGAGCAGACAGAGAGAGTGGGGTAGTGGATGACAATGATGGCCGCCACCAGCGATGAACGGAGTGTTATGGAGCCAACGAGGACGACTTCGGGTCCGGGGCAGCCCATAGACCGACTGAAGCTGCTCTATCCGATGGTGAACGAGGAAGAGACACCGTTACCGCGTTCCTGGAGCCCGAAGGACAAGTTCAACTACATAGGCCTGTCGCAAAACAATCTCCGCGTTCATTACAAAGGTACGTGTGCGGTAGAACACGGTGCGCGACCTCCGCGCGAGATGCGCCAACGTGCGCTCAGCGTTCGTCGGGCTTTAGCGTGTCCGTCGCATCCTGTCATCGGACCCGGGCCCGCTCCTCGTCCCGTGGCCGGGGCCGCGCCGCGATCGGGCTACTCCCGGGGCAGGGACGTAGTATCGATTGAAAATGGCAGGGCTCTTTTTCGCATGTGTCAGCGACCTAAACAAAGGAATCAGCTGATCAGTCCTGTGTGCCGCGGGGGGGTTCCGTCGCGTCGTCGTCGACACGATCGTGTCGACGACGACATCGGGATCTGGCGTCGTTCTCTCTCCTCTTTTTCCTCCTCCTCCTCCTCCTCCTCCTCCTCCTCCTCCTCCTCCTCCTCCTCCTCCTCCTCCTCCTCCTCCTCCTCTTCTTCCTCCTCACTCACTCACTCACTCTCTCTCTCTCTCTCTCTCTCTCTCTCTCTCTCTCTCTCTCTCTCTCTCTCTCTCTCTCCTTCTGTCCCTCTCCCTCTCTCTTTCTTTCAGCCGCGAGGTCAATCATTTTCGCAAAGGCGACGCGACAATTTTCAAGACGCGAGACCGTTGCAGCGATCGTCGTGTCGTGTCGTGTCGTGTCGTGCTCGTCGATCTGTTGGCGCGTGTATCGGGGAAGAAGAAACGGCAGGGGAGGGAGAGAGATCGAAAGACAGACAGAGAAAGAGAAAGAGCACGCGAGCGAGCGAGCGCGAGAGGTGGATTGCGTATGTATTTGTGTATGCGAAACTCAAAGGGAGGGAGAGAGAGATAGAGAGAGAGAGAGAGAGAGAGAGAGAGAGAGAGAGAAAGAAAGAAAGAAAGATAGCAGGAACAGAGAAAAGGAGACGGATGAAACGCGACACGGCCACGCACAATGTCAATGACAGCTGTGCGATTCGGATACGGGTCGCGGATACATGGAGAGCCGACTTCGCGCGTCGGCCCCGTCGTCGCGCGACAGGCAGTCCGATCGTCCAGCTCGCGGATGCTCGCATTGAATTTGTCCCGTTGGATTTCGTGGCGGTTCGCCGCGGATGTACCGGGTGTCCCACTTTCACCGCATCGAAACGCAGCGAGGGATACGCGGGGTGAATTCGAAGAGCGGTTCTTTTCTTCCTCTCCGGCGCGGGGAGAGCCTGAGAGGGATAATAATGGAGACTCCTCGGGGCTGAATCAAGTTTGCGCTACTTGCATAAATGGGACGGGGGCTTTTCCTCCTTCTCTTTTTTTACCTTTCTCTTCTCGTTTTTTTCTCTCCATTCTGGCCCCTTTCTCGCTCGGGAGCGTTTCGGTTGATTTGAATTGAGATCGCTGTTCTTCTCCTCGCGGGTCGAAGCTCCGTTGCTGAAATATTTCACCGGAGGGCGGACGCGATGCTCAGCCGCGAGCCATCTCGGCCCACCGCGCGACAATCCGCGGAAAATTCATCGATGACCTCGCCGAGATCTCGCGTGAAGAATGAAAACGCATCCCGCATGAATTCCATTGCGAGAGAGAGAGAGAGAGAGAGAGAGAGAGAGAGAGAGAGAGAGAGAGAGAGAGAGAGAGAGAGAGAGAAAAGTTTCGTCCCGCCGCCACTACTATTCTCATGACTTGTACGTCGTCGGGGTACGTATTTCGCTCCACGCGCATTCTCTCCTACTCTTTGCATCTTCTCGCTCCAAATATATACAGGGTGCGTGTGCGCTTTGCAGAGCTTCCGCATGTGTCGTAAAACGCACACGGCGGCTTCGACGACGACGAATACTCGGCTTGACGACGTCGGCGATACCGACCCACCGACCGCCCGGCGCATTATCTGTTCCCTTCCGTACGCACACAGACGTGGAATAAGGAAAATAAAATGTTATTTAAAACGCAAACATATACGCAGTAAGGACTTCGACCGAGCGTTCACGCTCGTCGAACGTGCCGATGCGCGAGCGGCACGGCGAACGAAAATATTATTTTCCTTTGGCGTGCAAAGAGAGAGAGAGAGAGAAAGAGAGAGAGGCAAACGCCGAAACCAGAGCGGAATAAGAAAAACAAGCGAATGGCACATTCTGTGCTTACCATTGAGCTTGCTCACAAATTTGCGCACAAACGCTATGGGCGAATGACTTCTCTTCTTCATCGAGGAATCGATTCCTCGCGAGTCGCCGGGACATCCTGTGCGCATTGATGAACGAATCGTAACAATACTGGCATCATCAGCGCGCTATTAGCGTGTGCGGAACTAACATCGTGGAATATGCTAATATAGAACGTTGAAACGCAGATTCTGCCTCACGCGAAGCGAAGCGAGCAATCGCGAGATTACGCTCGCTCGAAGAGGATGTCGTTAGATTAGATTTCTCTCCGCCGGAGAGCTCGCTAATCGTCGTCTCACTCGCGAGAACAAGAGGGAAGCAAAGACGGAGAACGGAGATTTTCCTCCTCGCGAATTTTTCTCCCGTTTGGAGGGAGGAAAGCGCGCGAAATCGAAATCGCTCGATCAATCGTTCGTTGCGTTTCTTTTTCTTTTTTTTTTTGTTTTTTGTTACAGATCGGCCGCGTGCGATGTCGTAGCTGCGTTGCGAAATCTATGCGTGCAGAATAAGAGCTGCATGCACGCGCGCGCAGACGTTCGGAATGCATAATCAGAATAATCGACGCGCCGATTGCGCGATAAATACGACAGATTTACGGGGCATCACGTTCGCGATGGCGCGATGACTGCTCTAAAATCACGTACGGTTACGAATGCAAAGTGTTAAACCGAGATGTCACGATACGCGGCAGACATGATGAGGCATAATGCACGCCGTATACACACACTCGACCCCAACTCCGACGTGCTCCGCGCGTCAATAATATCCGCTGTTCGCGAATCCTTTAATTTAACTTCGATCGTCGTCTCGGTTGTTGCACGACGTCGTAGATTCGCCATGAACTCGCCGCCGTGCCGTATTACGGCTCGCGAATATTTCGGGCTCGCTTTCGAAGATCGACGGAATTTTCACTCGTTCGGATGTATTCCGTTTGGGGCTAATTATCTACTGAAGAGAGAGAGAGAGAGAGAGAGAGAGAGAGAGAGAGAGAGAGAGAGAAAGAGAGAGGGAGAAATCGCACATTCATATCGAGATGAGTCATAAATTATGACGAAAGTGGCGGCTATATTTTCTCCTCTTCCCTTTCCTCTTTATTTTTTTCCGGTTCGTTCTTGCTCGCGTCCACAGCAAGGAAACCAATAAGGTCTTTTTTAGACTTCAAGACTTTTTTAGACAGAGACAGAAAAAAACGCCAATTTCTTTCTGACTCAACTAGACGTTGATCTATTAATTATTCATTCGTTGTTCGCTCAGACCTCCTACTTGGTCGAGCCTTTTGTCGAGCGGCTGACGGACAGCGCGCACGACTCGTGATATATTTTTCGCATTTGATAGCCAGCAATTATCTCTGTTTGATCTCAACACAAAGACGGACACGAAGTTTTAAGTCACTTATTTCTTTGTAAATATTTTAATCGCGGCTCAGTTCCCGCGACATGCATGCCACGCGTGGTGGAACGAAAGGACGTCGGATTGAGGTGTCGGTCGGTGTCCGTCTCCTCGGCTACAGAAATCTACAGTAATCTACAGTTTTGCCGTAAAATGCTATCCGTGGCACAGAGTCTCCTCTCTCGCCTCTCCTCTCGGAACCACCCGCGCGTCTGTTTACGACTTCGTTTTCGGCGCCGGCGATGAGGCGAGCGCACGTGGCTTCTCGGTGCGAGCGGCTTAAGAGCGCCTGCGAAAACGGAAGGCCGCCCGCGATAGCCCGCATCTACCGTTAACCCTTAACTGTTCTTGTTTTCCTTGCACTCCTCGCACGCTCTTTACACGCTTATACATGCGCGTCGTGACCGCGGCCCGGCCGGACGTCATGCGGATTTCATCGCATCCTTTCGCGGCGCGAGTCTCCCTCGCCACTCGGAAATTCACATTCGCTCTCCAAGGTAAATAAACAAAGCCAGTCGTGATCTTCGATCGGCGACCAGCAGCTCCGGCATGCGAATGGGCTCTCCTCCAGCCTTCGCGCGCGTTTTTCTTCTTGTTTTCCTATGGGGGATCATTGAAGCTGGGTTTCGGGCGATTCTTCATCTTCTCGGGAGATGTCTTGAAATATGTCTCGAGTGAGGCTTCTGAAACAAGTCGATCGTGAAGATAGTCTGCCGATTCGCGATCGCAGCGAGACTTGCGTGTTTCGCTTGAGCTTGAAGCGGATTCTGAATCCACCAGTGAATGTTTCAATCACTGAATGATGAATTTTTCCTGCGACGATGGAATGCATCTCGGGCTCGCTCTTCAATTTCGAGAATATTCGCCCGACGATTCGGGATAAAGAATTCATCCGGTGCGAATGAAAAGTCCGTCGAATTCGAGTGCGAGACGGAAGGACTGTCACTCTGCTCTCTCCACCGCTGTTCCGCTGTGTCACTTGATCGCGAAATCGGGACAGGGAGAGGACATTTCCCGAGGCTATCGAAAATCGACTTGATTTTATATATTTTATATACGTCCGCGCGTACACATTTGATATCCATTACCGTCACGCTCCGTTACCGTAATCGTTTAAAACACGCGCATCCCGCCAACCAGGCTTTTAAAAGCCTTTTATTACGTTACACGTACACGCGCGTTACACATATCCTGATGCAATAAAGCGATATCGCGCGCGTTGCGCGCGTCACGTCACGGCTGATATTGAGTTACAAAAGTTCTCCGCGCGCGCATAACGTTATTCTCGCAAACGGGAATATACAATTCCTGTAACGACCCAATAAAACAGTTAGCTCTGCAAGTGAGCCAACGCGCCCGGACGAGACGCCCGGACGCGCGGCGGATACGCAGATATGTGCGCGTCACGTAGTAGCTGTAAGGACGAGACGCGCGCGCCTCTCGTACATAGAAACTCATAGATCACAGATCGCGAATAAGCCTGTGTAATATCGCACCGATGTGGCGCGCGCGGTGACCCAAT